CTTACATGTATGGTATTCAGCTTTGTTTGGGTATTTTCCCACGTTATTATAGTTGTGCTTTTAAAGTTGTAGCAACGTTTCGGCAGAATCTCATCTGCCATCCAAAAGGTTGGCGACTCCTGATCTAGAATGTAAATGACACCAACCTATTGGTTTGTGTGAGTCTGTGAGGTAAAGAATAAAAATAAGTTATAGAAGCATCATTGAATGGTTTAGATGTTGATATGGAGGTGATATTTATGCTGCAATGTAAAACAGTGTACAAATAGTTCTCATGTTATGAAGCAACTGAAGCTTATTCTTTGGGTAATTCAAAAATGCCCCAGCTGGTGGCAGAACAGAGCTGAATCAGTTGATCCTGAAAAAGAAAGCAAAGAAAATAATTCTGACAATTAAAAAAAAATCTTTTTGAAGGAGACTATGTTAAAAAAAAAAGGCATGACACTAAACACACGGTAAATGTTGCAATTCTTTGTAAAAAAAACCAACCCTAAGTTCTTTTTAATTAAAATGCTTTAAATTATTATATAATAACATATTGCATAAGGACTTGCAGTTTTTAAAAAGTGTGGATGTATATTCATAGAATGTTCTAATAACTTGTAATGAAAACAAATTTTTAAGCAGTCTTTGGTTTTTATGGATTCCAGGTCTATAGGCTAGGTAAGGAAAAGAAAGGGAAAAAATTATACCCAGAAGATAGTAGTGACATACCACTTACTTAGTACTACCAAGAGAATTATATGGGAGTGATCAAGAAGTCAGGGTTTGAGCTCAGATTCAGTTAGTCTTTCAACATTTTTTAATGTTGAAAGAATTCAATTTATGCAACTAGAAAAATAAAGTTATTTGTAAGCACTTCAAATAGTTTTAAACATATTAAACTTTAATTGTGTGCCTCAGTTTGAAAGAAGACATTATCTATGTCATCTGTTGCATTTCTTCATATTGACCTGATAAATTTCATTGGCTGACAATATATCTAAAATATTATTTCAGTTGACCCTTTAATTCAATTTAATTTATGTTTGCGCACTGTGTTTTAATTTATTATATTCAATCTCTACAATAGGAGTTCTTTTATTACTTAGCATGTCTATTAGGAAATTGGCACACAGGAATTTGTTTCTAAGATTCATATTATCATCTTTTAAAAGGATGGTGATCGAAAAATAAACAGAGAAGATTTGAAAAAGGCATGCTTTCAGCTTAACTTGGATTTGGATGATGAACTTTTGGATTCTTTATTTAATTACTGTGATTTGGATGAAGACGGTTTTATAGACTATTTGGAGTTTGTAAATTTTCTTAACTGGAAAGACAAAATGGCTATTCAAGAGTATGAAGAAAAAATAATAACAAAAGGTATGTCACCAACATTAAATGATAACTTATATCATTAAATCTGATACCAGTACAATGGACTTAAGTTTCTTGAGTATTTCATAAAGTAAACTGAAGATTTGGAATTTGTACTAATCAAGAATAACCTTTTTTCCCCTTTTGGATTAAATTTGAGTTTTGCCTGCAAACCTTCCATAGGATTTATTACTTTTGGCTTTAGACAGTGGTGTGAAATGACTGGGTCAAATTTGTTATCACCCTGGCTATATGGATTTCGAACATTCCTCAGGATGAAGAATGCTCAGAATGATAATGTGGACAGCTGGAAAACTCTGAAGTTGGAGAAGGCTTTTTAACCCCCTTTCATTCTTTCTCCTCCTCTTCTATTACATTCAGGTGACTAATGTCCTTCAGCAAGAGATGAAAAAAAAGATTGTTGTTGACAAGAACTATTGCTGATAGTTTAATTCCCCACAATGACTCTGAGGGCTGTAGAGGGCACTTATCATAAAATCAGCACTCCTTTTCTCCTTATTTTTCTATTACTATTAAAGTAAACCATATCAGAGTAAAGTATATGTTCTTTCTTGAAATAGGAGAGGGAAGACAACAGTGGAGCTCCATTCAGCTACTTTGTCATAATTCAAGAAGAAGCCTTGGCTGGTTCTACTTTTCCCTTCATCTAGAAGGAGGGATTCATTGATACTGTAGGGCACCACTAGCTCCCTGGCAGTTAGGGGATATTCTGCTGTTATCTCAGGAACTGACAAGCAGATAGGTTTGACCTCCACCCTGGCCATGTTCAAAATTGTTCCGAAAATCTGATTTCTTTCCCCAAGTGTTGGGTTAATGTGCATTTGATTGACTTTTAGTGGTTGCTTTTCTTCTGATGTTTGCATGAATTGTTCTTTTACTGTACAGTATCAGTTTTACTGTATCCCCTCCTCCCAGGTCATTATAGAGTTGAACAGCCTTATATTTTTCTGAAATTATTTAAATTAATAAGTAACAGAGCTACTTTTGTATCCATATATGACTTCAATATTTTTCTTTTTCTTTTGACATGGTTGAAACTGGACCCTTACTTTCAATGTTCACAACCCCATTTTTCCTTCATTTTAAAAATGTATCTTGTTTATGGTCTTATATCAGGGATGTCAAACTGACAGTTTGGTAGCTGGATGCATCAAATGCAAGCCACGCCCATCTTGCCTCCGCAAAGGCAAAAAAGTCACCATATGTCATGTGACATCATGTGATGCAATCAAGTTTGACATCCATGCCTCAGATCTTATTTTAAAGCTTCCTAAACTTACTTTTTTGTGCTATTTTATAGTTTTATGTTACTCAATAAAAGTAACCTTTAAACTTTTTCTTTTTATTCATTGTTCACAGGGAAAAAAACAGCTCCTTTTGATCTTATTCCAGCAAATGATTCAGAAATTAAAGCTAATGAAAATGCTCTGCTAAAGCAGGATGATATTGTACCCATGGAACCAGGAAGTTTAGAAAAAACATTTAGAACACTGTCAAGACCAACTGATCGTGTATTTTCTGATTATCGCACAACCTCTTCTCAATATAATGCAGTTGTAGGTGGCATTCCTTCATCATGTATGTAAAACATTTATATATTCTTTTACAACCAGGTTATAAATGTTTAAAGATATAATTAACATATTTATTAATCAGCCTCCTAAAGATCTTTTGTTGCTGTTTTGATTTCTTTAGTTGTTTTGAAGAGAATATAGCATCTATATAATAGTTATATTGCTTTTTAAAGATGCATACTTCCTCAAACCAGATTTGATTCCTGCTAATTTCATGAATAATTTTGTCGTTTTCTTGACAATAACATGTAAATGGTTTTTCATTGCCTTCTGACATTTTGTTAGTTTTCCATTTTATAGCCTGGGATTTTCTAATGGTCTGCCTTCCAAACAGCAGTATTTAATTGATACTGGACCTCAGAAGTCTAACATAACTTAAGGGAGATTTCTCTCTCTCTCATCTCTAAAGATTTTTAAGAGAGCAATTGCTAATCAGTTTATTGAAGCATCATGATTTTTTACTGGGAATGCTGGAGGCCCTTCATACTGATTTCTCTTTAACATCATTCATAATGAAGTTTTGGTCCTATAGTCATTTGCATAAGCCTGAGATTGGAGTATCCCTGAGATGCATCCTCAGTAAAAAAAAAAAAAAACAGGGTGTGTTTGTAAGCAGGTATTGTGTTTATCCTTAAAATATTCAAGTAAAATGTTCAAAAATTAGATAGTATTGTAGAGTTAGGTCAAATATTTGAAATGCATATTTTCTGGACTAATAGCATGAATATGAGTTGGAGTAGGTTGCAAATACAGTCCATGATCCAGGCAAAATTTAGGAATAATGAAAGTTCTGATTTCAGAGGGACATTAAGACTGTAGTCCTATGTCCATAGTACAGGATCGTATGACCTCCTCTCTTTGGAGAAAGAAATCCAAAAAACATAATTTCAGATATTAAATATCCTTTCCACCAGTCATCTATCTCCCCACCCCATCCCCATAAGCCTCTGAGCCTATCCGGGTCTGACATCTGGAATGGCAGGGATAAAGCAATAGGAATGATGGGAGAGATTTTAGATCTAAAACCTTCCTAATCATCCACATCACTGCTGACCTAGATCAGCCTTTTGAACTGGTATAAATTACTTTGCTCACAGTGATAAAATATTTTTAATGAAAAACAAAAATAGGAAGGTCACTGATATTCCTCCTTTCAAAGGTGCCTTGATCATATTGGAGGACTCTAACTAGGTAATAGAGTTGTTCTAGTTTCAAGATATTGTTCCCTTACAAGATCAGTGTGTTTTGAGAACTTAGTTTTTTCACTGTTACTTGTTTAGTTATGCCTCTAATTAGAGGTGTCTACAGTAGTGTGAAATTGTGGGCTTAACCCAGTGATTGACGCAACCACCCTTTTTTAGGTATAGTGATTGTGCTAACATTTTGAAATCACTGGCTGTGACTGACATTCCTGTCTCTAATTGTAGATAGACATTGTATAACAAAAAACTTAAAAGCATACCAAAATAAAAAGAGAAGTTATGTATATTATCTTAAATGGATTTTTAAAAAACTGGTTTAGAAAAGGAGCTTTAAAAAGGATATGCTTGTTTCATGTAATCTAGTTCTGTTATTCCTATCTACACCATAATGCTTTTCTCATCACTTTTTAAAATATGTTTTCACACAGTTTACCCCCTATTTGGCATTCCAACCATTCGTTCAGATATTCCAGCTCCTCGTTTTCGCCGTATCAGTGACACCACTAATTATGGGGATCAAGCAACTATGTATGCATTGTTATACCCCTCTATCTATAATAATAAAGGAGTATATGAGAAAGATATCTTCAGGATAAGATCAAAGGAAGAGGTAGATATATATATGTTAAAAATGCAATATAATTTGTCTTATCAGCTGCTGGAAGATCATAGGAAACATTTCTATTAAAAATTTATGATCATTGTCTTGTCTAGTACCAGTCTTAAGTACACTATTTTAACAGAAAAGATTTCACACTAAAATAAGTTATCCTCAATTGCAGATTTAATGTATTAAGCACAATGCAAATGGAAAAAGAACTATCTGAAAGATGCTTTTTCAAAAGGCAACTGGACTGTTTTTTTTTTTCTTTGATGAAGAAGAACAAAATGTTTAACTTCTCATCCAAGAAACTTCATCACTTGTGATGGCAGGGGTGGGTGGAAGGATAAGTATTGGGGGTTGAGATTGGATGGAGGGGATCCAAAATGTGGACTTTAAAAGAGAGGTAAAAGAGGCCATTTATATTAACACTGAGCAGCCTTCTACAGTTTACAATGCAGCCCTTGCAGGAATTCTAGGAAGGTTCACCCATTGTACTCAGATTCAGGGGACCTGAGAGCAAAGATAAATCCGCAAATGGCCTAAACAGCTCTTGGGGACAGTGCTAATGACCAGATGACTGCAAAAAAGATAAAAATACAATCCTTCCACTCCACACCACCATCCAGTCAAAACCTATCCTTCCATTTCCCCTACCATCCAGTCTTAACTGTCAGTACCTATTATTCCATTCCCTCCTCCCAACTCACCCATCATAACTGATGAAGCTTCTTGAATAAGAAGTGAAACATTTTGTTCTTTCTCAAGGAAAAAAAACACTTCAGTTATCTTTTGAGACAACTATGACTGAGAATTTTCATAGACAACTGAAGAACTAAAAAAAAGATGGATAGGGCCAGGCTTTGCTGCTTCTTATCCTAAATTTTCTTCATTGGGTTTACTTGCTTTTAGTCCTGTAGACCAGTATTTTTCAATTTTGGGAAGTTTGGATTTCAACTCCCAAAATTCTCCAGCTGTCATTGGGAAACATAGCTGGCATGGCTGGCTAGGGAATTCTGGGTGTTGAAATCCACATATTTTAAAGTTCCCAAGTTGAGAAACACTGCTCTAAATAATAGAAACTAGAAAATGCTTCTTTCTGATTAATTGGTGGGAGAGCTAATTTCATAAAAGGTGGGGGGAGGAGAGATGAGGGAAATCTGACTATAATTACTCTTTCCTGGATAATGTACACTTGGATGGTATACATTAGCTACAGCTAGCTAATTTTACCTAATCTTTTGAACAGAGTCTTGGGAATTGGGTTTTGTAATATTGTTTTTTCTGGCATAAGATTCTGGGCTTTGGTAGAGTAAGTGAAGTTCCATAGTTATTTGATATATAGGTACTCCTTGACTTTCAGTGGCCACCTGGTAACCATTCAAAATTATGGCTGATCTGAAAAAGAGGATTTATGACCAAGATTCAAAGTTTTTATTGTTGGGCTCCTTTAGCAGTCACACGACTAAATTTTGAGTGCTTAGCCATAAAGCCATATTTATGGCCAATTGCAACGTCCAATGATCACCACAGTTTATGGCAGCCTATGACAGAACTTAGTTCCAGATTTCAGCAAAACCATATCCATAGGAAACCATTGGTTCACGTAATGACTGCAGTGTCATTAGTGATTCACTTAATGATTATCACAAAAGGGTTGTAAAATTGGATTGGTCATGTGATTGAACTATTTTATGACTGTTACAACATATGACCAAAATGGCCAGACTCCATTACAGTTGTATGTCAAGAATTATATGCTGAGATAATTTGATCTTTATATTTTTAATCTGATTCATTAGTGTTTTGAATGGTCAAATACTTACATAAGTAAATAAATAAATTTAATGCATGATTTTTATTTTTTCTGACAGTTGGCATGTATACCCGCTCAATTGCCCTTTGACTTTTAGTATAGAGTCATAACTATTTCATGGATATCAGCTTAGAAATAAAATACCGTATATACTCAAGTATGAGTTTTTCAGCACATTTTTTGTGCTGAAAAAAACCCCCTTGGCTTATACTCAAGTCAGATTCCCTCTGAAAAAAAAATGGTGTGGAGCTCCGGAGCTGGGCAGCCGCTTCCCTGCTTCCGTGTTTCCTTTGCAACTTGTAAGCATGGGGGTAATCGGAAGCAGAAAAGTTCTTGCATGAGGATGTATTGTTTTTTCTTTATTTAACTGTTTTTAGGGGGGGGGAAGTCCCACCATCATGTGAGAATGCTCAGACACGAAATCTATCCACCTGAAAATAAGTGTGTGTAGGGGGGAGGATTTTAACAGAGGGAAGACATAGGGAGAAGGCAAAAGCGACGGAAGATCCTTCAGGGGAAACTGAGGGGGAGACTCACCCTTGGTCCAGATGAGCCCCCTTCGCCCCTAAGGAAGCAGAGGCAGCCAGCAAGGGCAGGCAAGCCCCGCTTCACGGACTCCGTCCATCCTCACTCCCACTCAACCACCCAAAGCCACGATGTCCCCCAATCGCACAGCCCAGAATCGCCCTCCCCTCAGGGGGCAGCAGCGACGCCTGGTGTTTCCTGAAACAAGAAGCTCCACCGTGCAATGAAAGCGCCCTGGCTCTAGGCTCAGAACCGTTTCCTCAGCCCTAGCTGCTTTCACTCCGCTCAGGAGGAGGAGGGGGAGGAGGAGGTGGTGGCAGCGGCTTGTGTTATTTTCTGAGCTCTAGGCTCTAGGCTCGCGATCTCAGAAAACAACGCGAGCCGCTGCCACCACCTCCTCCTCCCCCTCCTCCTCCCGAGCGGACTGAAAGCAGCTAGGGCTGAGGAAATGAAGCCACCTCGGCTCACGTTGTTTTCTGAGCCTAGAGCCAGGGTGCTTTCATTGCATGGCAAAGCTTCTTGTTTCAGGAAACACTGGGCGTCGTTGCTGCCCCCTGAGGGGAGGGCGATTCTGGGCTGCGTGATTGGGGGACTTCGTGGCTTTGGGTGGGTGGGTGGGAGCGAGGACAGACGGAATCCGCGAAGCGGGACTTGCCTGCCCTTGCTGGCTGCCTCTGCTTCCTTAGGGGCAGGGAAGGGGGCTCATCTGGACCAAGGGTGAGTCTCCCCCTCTGTTTCCCCTGAAGGATCTTCCGTCGCTTTTGCCTTCTCCCTGTGTCTTCCCTCTGTTAAAATCCCACACACACACACACACTTATTTTCAGGTGGATAGATTTCATGTCTGAACATTCTCACATGACGGTGGGTCTTTCCCCCCGCCCCTAAAAACAGTTAAATAAAGAAAAAACAATATATCCTCATGCAAGAACTTTTCTGCTTCCGATTACCCCCATGCTTACAAGTTGCAAAGGAAACACGGAAGCAGGGAAGCGGCTGCCCAGCTCCGGAGCTCCACGCCATTTTTTTTTTCAGAGGGAATCTCACTTGAATATAAGCCGAGGGGGTTTTTTTCAGCACAAAAAATGTGCTGAAAAACTCGGCTTATACTCGAGTCAATAAGTTTTCCCAATTTTTTGTGGCAAAATTAGGTGCCTCGGCTTATATTCGGGTCGACTTATACTCGAGTATATACAGTAATCCCACAAAATTCCAGTTTTTGTCTACTTTTTTGATTTGAAAATGTTTATTAGATTATAGAGTATTGTAAAATATAAAATACAAAAGTAAATAGAAGAACAATGGGGGTTAGGAGGAAGTGATGTGAGGAAAATAGGTGGAAAAAAAAGAAAAAGAAGCATTGACTTCCGACTCTCTCTCTTACAGTAAAATAAGACATTAACATCAAATCACAGCTTTTTGCTTTTCCATAATAGTATGAACAAGTCATTTCTATAAAGATCCATCAGTCTAATCTGTCAAATCCAAAGTCAATGTTACATTCTTTTCCATATCAAGCACGAAGTTCAGAAGTGGTTTCCATGTGGAAACAAAAGAACTTCTGTTCTTTTCTTTAATCAAAAGTCAGTTTTGCCATTTTCACTAACTCCATCAACTTCTGCAACCATTCTTCCATGCTAGGAATCAAAGTGTCCTTTCATTTTTGTGTATACAATAGTCTTGCTGAGAGTGTTTTTGTCTCTTTTGAGATAAAGTTGGACTATGGCCAGAAAGACATACATGAGTGGTTTTGCATATGTGCATGCATGTAAAAATTCCAAAGGCTAACTATATTATATATTACTTCACAGATTGCAGACATTTTGCGCAACATTGGTGTGAAACTTTCAGATGAAAGCTTTGATGAAGTATGGAGGCAGGCCTGCCTGAAAGATCACAGAGGAAAAGTTTGTGTAGAATCCATCAGAAATGTACTAGATGAGATGGAGGCATTACACTTGACCAGCTGATAAGAACTTTCCTTTGAATTATGTGATATTTATGGTTGAATATTATCTTACTGCAGTAAATTTTCCTGTTATGACATGTTTTGAGACAGTCTGTGTACAGTGCATATAAAGACATTTATTTACCAAACTATATTAAATTGGACTTCATATTCAGTTAGAAATATATTTTTAAAAAAGAATTAAACATCCAGGAAGAAGAAATGTGTACTGTGTATTATGAGATGCAAAATAGTATCAGATACCCATTGTTAAAAAGAAAAAACAAGATGCTAGAATATGGTAGAAAATTTTGTCAGCATAGTCAGGAAAAACTTTCCTGATTATTAGTTACTTTCAGAACTATTATACATTTTCTATCTCACTCAACAAACATGCTGTTTTTATGGATGATCGCTGCATATATTCTTGTTCAGAAGTTATATATAAATATAACTCACTCACAAACAAAAAAATCTTCACACCACAAGCCAGGCAAAGACGAACACAATACAGACGAACACAATACAGAAGCCTAATGATGGCAGATGAGATTCTGCCGAAACGTTGCTACAGCTTTAAAAGCACAACTATAATGATGTGGGAAAACACCCGAACAAAGCTGAATACTATCTATCTATCTATCTATCTATCTATCTATCTATCTATCTATCTATCTATCTATCTATCTATCTATCTATCTATCTATCATCTATCTATCCACACACTGCTCAAAAAAATAAAGGGAATACAAAAATAAGACATCCAGGATCTGAATGAATGAAATATTCTTATTAAATATTTTGTTCATTACATAGTTGAATGTGCTGACAACAAAATCACACAAAAATTATCAATGGAAATCAAATTTAGCAACCCATGGAGGTCTGGATTTGGAGTTACACTCAAAATTAAAGTGAAAAAAAAACACTACAGGCTGATCCAACTTTGATGTAATGTCCTTAAAACAAGTCAAAATGAGGCTCAGTAGTGTGTGTGGCCTCCACATGCCTGTATGACCTCCCTACAACACCTGGGCATGCTTCTATGCTTCTGATGAGGTGGCAGATGGTCTCCTGATGGATCTCCTCCCACACCTGGACTAAAGCATTCCCCAACTCCTGGACAGTCTGTGGTGCAAGGTGGCGTTGGTGGCTGGAGCAAGACATGATGTCCCAGATGTGCTCAATTGGATTCAGTCCTGAGGAATGGGTGGGCCAGTCCATAGCATCAATGCCTTCGTCTTGCAGGAACTGCTGACACACTCCAGCCACATGAGGTCTAGCAGTGTCTTGCATTTGGAGGAACCCAGGGCCAACTGCACCAGCATATGGTCTCACAAGGGGTCTGAGAATCTCATCTCGGTACCTAATGGCAATCAGGCTACCTCTGGCAAGCACATGGAGGGCTGTGCGGCCCCCTAAAAAAACGCCACCCCACACCATTACTTACTGCCAAACCGGTCATGCTGGAGGATGTTGCAGGCAGCAGAACATTCTCCACGGTGTCTCCAGACCCTGTCATGTCTGTCACGTGCTCAGTGTGAACCTGCTTTCATCTGTGAAGAGCACAGAGCGCCAGTGGCGAATTTGCCAATCTTGGTGTTCTCTGGCAAATGCCAAAAGTTCTGCACAGTGTTGGACTATAAGCACAACCCCCACCTGTGGATGTTGGGCCTTCATACCACCCTCATAGAGTCTGTTTCTGACTGTTTGAGCAGCCACATGCACATCTGTGGCCCGCTGGAGGTCATTTTGCAGGGCTCTGGCAGGGCTCCTCCTGTCCCTCCTTGCACAAAGGCAGAGGTAGCGGTCCTGAAGCTGGGTTATTGCCCTCCTACGGCCTCCTCCACATCTCCTGATGTACTGGCCTGTCTCCTAGTAGTGCCTCCATGCTCTGGACACTACGCTGACAGACACAGCAAACCTTCTTGCCACAGCTCGTATTGATGTGCCATCCTGGATGAGCTGCACTACCTGAGCCACTTGTGTGGGTTGTAGACTCCGTCTCATGCTACCACTAGAGTGAAAGCACCGCCAGCATTCAAAAGTGACCAAACCATCAGCCAGAAAGCATAGGAACTGAGAAGTGGTCTGTGGTCACCACCTGCAGAACCACTCCTTTATTGGGGATGTCTTGCTAACTGCCTATGCTTTCCACCTGTTGTCTATTCCATTTGCACAACAGCATGTGAAATTGATTGTCAATCAGTGTTGCTACCTAAGTGGGCGGTTTGATTTCACAGAAGTGTGATTGGCTTGGAGTTACATTGTGTTGTTTAAGTGTTCCCTTTATTTTTTTGAGCAGTGTATAAGAAAGGGGCCTAAGAAGATTTAAAGAACTACCATCCAATAAGCTTTCTTTCAAGTCAGTAAAGAACTATTACCCAATAAACCGTCTTTCAGTTTTCACCAAGAAAGAATATTGAGAACATTAAATAAGACTATTAAAAAATATCCAAAGGAGCAGGCAGGGTTAAGAAGTGGTTAGAGCACGATGGATTACATTAAGGTTGTTCAGCAACTAATTGAAAAGCACAATGAGTACACCATGCCTCTGTGCATGGCTTTCATTGATTACAAAAAGGCATTTGACTCAGTACTCCAGCAAGCAATAATTAAGGCATTGCTCAACTGAGACGTAGATACTATTTACATAAAACAATAAATACATGAAAAAATGGCAACAATTTGCCTAATGATCTTAAACTAGAAATCAACATAGAATGAAGTGTACAACAAGGTGATACAATATCCCCTATCCTTTAGTCAACCTTTTGAAAACTAAATGGAGCAAAAGATGGAACAAAAGTGAATGGTGCCTATTTAAATCAATTAAGATTTTTTTGATGATGTTTTCTTCACACAAGAGCTACAAAAAGATATAAAAGTACTGCACAATGGAGAACTAACAAAACAAACTTGAAAAAGAGCCAGGTTATGTTAATAAATTCATCAAAGAAAGAAAGAAAAATATATTTGGAAAAGAACTAGATGTAGTAGACCATTACACATACTGTGTTTCTCACAAAATAAGTCCGGGCCTTATTTTTTTTGAACCCCGAAAAAATGGCTAGGCCGTCTTTTCGGGGGTGACTTAATTTCCTCCCCCACCTAGAGCATCCCATGCGCACGTACCTCTCCACAAGGCCGTTTCTATCGGCCAATGAAAGCTCCCCAAAGGCAGTGTCACCAGCCGCTTTGGGGTGAGGCGTGGCTGCCCGCATCCCCTCGCCATGAGGCAGTGTCTTTTGGGCGATGAAAGCTCCCCAAGGGCAGTTACCAGCCACTTTGATTGGCTGGTAGAAGTGGCCTCGGGGCGAGCACCCATGCACACTCTCCTCGAGGCCGCTTCTATCAGCCGATGAGAGCTCCCTGAAGGCAGTCTCCAGCCGCTTCGGGGCGAGGTGTGGCTGCCCATGCACACTCCCCTCGCCATGAGGCAGTGTCTTTCAGGCAATGGAAGCTCCCCAAGGGCAGTCACCAGCCACTTCGATTGACCGGTAGAAGTGGCCTCAGGATGAGTGCCCATGCACACTCCACTAACTGTGCGGCCGCTTCTATCGGCCGATGAAAGCTCCCTGAAGGCAGAGTCTCCAGCCACTTCGGGGTGAGGCATGGCTGCCCATGCACACTCCCCTCGCCATGAAGGAGTGTCTTTCAGGCAATGGAATCTCCCCAAGGGCAGTCACCAACCACTTCAATTGGCCGGTAGAAGTGGCCTCAGGGCGAGCGCACACACACACTCCCCTCGCCGCGAGGCCGCTTCTATTGGCCGATGAAACCTCCCCAAAGACAGAGTCACCAGCTGCTTCGGGACAAGGCATGGCTGCCCACTGGGCGCGCCTGACAGGAGTGCCCACGCACACTCCCCTCGCCATGAGGTAGTGTCTTTCAGGTGATGGAAGTTCCCCAAGGGCAGTCACCAGCCACTTCGATTGGCCGGTAGAAGCGGCCTTGGGGTGAGCGCCCATGCGCACTCCCCTCACTGCGAGGCAGCTTCTACCAGCTGAGTGAAGTAGCTGGTGACTGCCCTTGGGGAGCTTCCATCGCTCGAAAGACACTGCCTCATGGCAAGGGGACACGGGCAGCCACTCCTCGCTCTGAAGCGGCTGGTGACTCTGCCTTTGGGGAGCTTTCATCAGCCAATAGAAATGGTCTCGTGGCAAGGGGAGTGTGCATGGGCACTTGCCCCAAGGCCACTTCTACCGGCTGATCGAAGCGGCTGGTGACTCTGCCTTCGGAAGCTTCTATCAGCCGATGTTCTATCGGTAGTAGATCGGGGTATTCTAGCCTAGACTACCTGAAGGGCACTCCTAAAGGCAAGTTTTCTCCCCACCCACCCCCGCCCTTCCCATCCATTTCTTTTCACTTCGTGTAGTTCTAACGAACGATGTGAGAAATGGCAGGGAAACGCACCGTTTAAATAGGCCTAAATTTTGGGGACGGGGCTTAATTTCACCTCATGCCTAGAAATCATGCTGGGCCTTCCTATTGGTGGAGGCTGTATTGTTGGAGAAACACGGTACCTTGGCCAATGGATATCAAAGGACAGCGGTACAAAAAGGAAATTGAATGGTATATACATTTTGTTGACAGGCATTCAACAAGCTAAGAATAATTTTCAAGAACAACTCTCCCCTATGCCTGAAGAGAAAAGTTTTCAAAAGTATGCTCTACTTGCTCTAACTTATGCCCATGAAAAATGAACACTAACCTCACAATCAATACAAAAGCTAAGACTGACACAAAGAGCTATGGAAAGATACATGCTTAGCATTACAAGACAAGATAGAAAGACCAGCACATGGATTAGATATGAAATGAATATATATGATATCATCAAGAGCAGTGTCTTCAAACTTGGTAAGTTTAAGACTTGTGGATTTTAACTCCCAGAATTCCTCCTCCAATCATGTTAGCTGAGGAATTTTGGGAGTTAAGTCCATAAGTCTTAAACTTGCCAAGTTTGAAGACCCTTGATCAAGAGAATAAAAGAATTGAAATGGAAATGGGCTGGTCACATAGCAAGAAGTAAGAGTGTGTGTGTGTGTGTGTGTGTGTGTGTGTGTGTATAGACAGAGAGAGAAATTTCTTGCAAGAATATATGTA